TGGGGGGGGGGCGACCTGCTCATCAGCCCGTGTGGACACTGAGAGGCCAGAGCCTGTCCGCACATGCTGGAAGGGGCCCTGACGGAGGGTGCTGGGGGAGCTGGCGGACTCTGGGGTCCCGTGCCCTTGGATTAAACCCTAATTGTGCCCACTGTAGGGTGCAGGGGTGCAGCGAGGGCCCCACCCGCAAGCCCTGCCTCCAGGTCCACGGCTTTTACTCAGTATGTGGGGTGCTCTCTTGCTGCCAGCACTTTCCACTCTCAGGCCACTGGACCACGCCTGACCACGCCGTCCAGCAGTCGTCCCCAAGAGATGATGTGCGTGGACGCGCACCCCAGCTCCCTCTGGCCTTGGGGGTGCCCCAAGTCTCCCAGGGCTCTCCTGGCGGACTGTACCTCAGTTGCCCACACGGATGCTCCTTCACAGCCCCTTTGGCCGGTGCTCCCCTCAGTCACCCCAATAACCCCCTGGCTTCCTGTGCCTGACTCAGACCCGCCCCTGGGGACCAAGCCGAGTCTCTCTGTCTGCCTCATCAGGGGTGACAGCAGAGCCAGATGGTGGGGGAGGAGTGGCTGGGGGCTGCTGTGGGGACAGGCAGGCCTGCCAGGGGTCCACCCCAGTGTGTGCAGAGCGCGGTCAGGGGCGCAGACCAGCTGGCTGAGCCGTGACCGGGGGTGGAGGGGGCTGGGAGCCAGCGGGACTCCAGGGCTGAAGAGTGACTTGTGGGGGTAGAGAGGTCGCTTGTGGCCTGGGGGCGACAGCTGGGGATGGGGAGGCAGAGGGGTGTGACTTCGGACAGGGCCAGCCTGTCCGCCCCGCGGCCCAGGGGGCTCGAGGGCATGCCAGGCTGGGGGGGCTTGCAGAGACAGCGGGGCTGCGTACCCCAGCGGTCACCAGGGGCTATTGTTCCCCTCTTTCAGCTCAAGGAGCTCATTGCCAGCACCCGCCTGGGCACTTACTACAACTCCAGCTCGGTCTACTCCTTCGGGTGAGCTACCTTGCCCCTCCCAGCCCGCTCCAGAACCTCACACTCGAGACGCGGCTAGGGGGCACCGTCAACTTCTGCTACAGTGCCCTCACTTTTGTTAATGGGGAAACCGAGGCACGGAGCGGCCACGTGGCTCGCCGCGACCTCCCTCACCGAGCCGGTCTCTGCGCCTGGAGGGTGGGCACCGCGCCGTGGACGGGCGCCGTGGACGGGCGCCGGGTACCCAGCGAGCCCAGGTGGGGGCCAGCCGTCCACTCAGCCTGGGCTGCGGCAAATAACCAGGCCTCTTGCCTCAGCTCACCTGCAAAATGGGGCGATGGGAGCACCTTCCCCGGAGCCAGGCAGGAGGCCCTCCGCGCAGAGACGGGGTAGTTAGGGCCCAATTCGTAGGCCCCCCGCGTCTGCTTTCTCCGGCGGGGCAGGGGGCCGGGCGGAAGTGGGGGGCCACCCTCCCCAGCCCCTGTTTCCTCCTCCTGCCGCAGGGAGGGGCCGCTCACCTGCTTCTTCTGGTTCATCCTCCAAATCCCTGAGCACCGCCGGCCGATGCTGAGCCCCGAGGTGGTGCGGGCAGTGCTGGTGGAAGAGCTCCTGTCTGCGGTCAACAGCTCAGACCCTGCTCCCTACAGGGCTGAGTATGAGGTGGACCCCGAGGGCCTGGTGATCCTGGGTCAGTACGGAAGGGTGGCCGCCAGGGCTGGGGTGCTGTCAGGGTGGGCTGGGGTGCCCGGGGGCCGGGACCGAGGGCGCCCGGGCAGGGAGGGTCCAGACTCCGTCTCAGACAGGTCGCTCCGATGGTCTCCTCGCTTTTTATTTTCGTCTTATTTCATTTTACGTATTTATTTTTGTCTTCATTTGTTTGTTCGTTTCCTTTTAACAGAAGCCAGCGTGAAAGAGATAGTTGCCCTGAACGCCACCCTGGGTACGCCCTTTTGCTTTCCTCTCCACTTTCTGTTTGAGTTGGTGTTTTTCTTGACCTGGCGAGAGGCGGGGTGGGCAAGCGGCGTCCACGACGGGCCCATCTGGAGCTCCCGGGGTGGCCGGGAGGACTCGGGGGGCTGTGGGGGAGCGATTGTGCGTCTGTGGCAGGTGTGCGTGTCTTCACCGGGCGCGTGTGACCTGTGTGGGCTGGGTGTGAGTAGCAAGTGTAGCTGCAGCTGAACATGACACTGTTTTCCACTTCGGATTCATTCTGCCTGGGAGCCCCCTGTCCACTGACGGCACAAAGCAATCTAATTCCAGGGGTAGTGGTCTCTTGGTCTAAAACTTGCTCTCTGGGAGATACCATGGCCAGGTGGTTCGAGACATTCCCTCCGCCGGTTCCTTCCGGCTCTCAGCCTGCCAGGCTGACCTGCCCTCTCGCCATAGAGTCTGGGACCTAATCAATAGTCAATAGTTAATCAGTGTTATTATTCCTGAGGGCCCTGGGGGCCCCTGGGCTGTCTAGTCCATGGGGTGCCCACAGCAGGCCACCTCTAGCCGCCCCCCGATTTTGTAACCACGAGTCAAGAATGGCGTTTCTAGATGATTGAAACAAATCACATGACAGTTTTCCTCATGTTCCAGAAGTACCCGAACAAGCCTTGAGCACCTCCTCCAGGCCAGGCCTCCCTCCGCTGGGCAGCAGACATGCCCCACACTGGCCTCACGGGGGCCGGGAGCCCCACCACAGAGACTCCTAACCAGCACCTCCCCACACCCGGCGCCAAGCGGGAGGCCCTGGGCAGGGACAGAGGGACTGGCTCTGCCTCGGACGCCAGGGGCCGAGGCCCAGAGCACGGGAGGGGATTCGTGTCAGGGAGAAAGGCGCGGCTTGGGGTGGGGTCCTGGGAGCTTCACGGAGGGGGTGCGGGCTCAGGCAGGGGCAGGCTCTAGTCTGCCAGGCCAGGCAGGGAGGGAAAGGTGTCCCGCTCCCCCACCCCAGAAGAACAGCCAGAGCAAAGGCCAGGTGAGGGCCCCAGGACATCCTCCCCAACCAGCCCCCGCTGCGCGATCTGACACCCAGTAGAACACAGGTGGGCGCCCAACACGCCATCGAGCAGGGGTGTAGGTGGTGCTTCCTTCTGGCCTCGCGTACAAAGCTCGTGGGGAGTGACCGACACATCTGTGTGACGGAGGAGGTGTGGGGGTGGAGGGGTGACAGTCCCGGACTTTCTCCCCAGCCCCCCCGCCCCCCCACCTGAGAACATTGATTACCTTTACTGACACCTACATGTGTGCTACTGCTTGCTGAGCCCCCGAATCAGCGCCCCCAACCTGTGACCGGTGCTCAGGTCCGACAGCCGAGCCCGCAGAGGCTGGGTGGAGCTGCGGGCGCCCAGGCCTGCCCGCCCTGTGAGGGGTGCTGACAGCGGCTTCTCTTGTCCCGGGCTTTCGGGGTCCACAGTCCTGCAGGCAGCAGCCCCAGATCAGGCCCTTTTCTCGTTGCTCCCTTGTCACTGGGGCTCCGCCAGCACCCCTAGGGCACCCTCCCTTGACTCCTAAATCCCAAAACTTTTCCTCGCCCTTCTCCGCTGGCCGCGAGGCTTCCTGCCCGCCCCGGCGGCTGGGCCTGGCCGCGTCCCAGCCCTCCTGCCCTTTCGTGGCTCCCCGTGGCTGGGAGGAGCCTCCCCCACCCACGGGTGTGATCCTTCTGCCTTGGAGTACCCCCCTCCCTGGTGCCCAGTGTCTCACTGTGACCCCCAAACCTCCCTGACCCACCGTGCCGGGTGGGTCGCCCTCACCTCCCGAGCCCCTCCCACGTCCCTGGCCAGCGGCCACTGTCCTCGAGTCCCCGGGCAGCCACCGGCTCGTGGTGTTACGGACCGAGTGACTGGCCCATGGGTGGATGCGTGAGTGAGGACACGGAAGCTCCGGGCGCAGCAAAGCAGGACGGGGCCCCGCTGTGCCTGCCGCTCCTGCTCGCTCCCCCGCCCCGGGCCGGCGACCTGGCTCGCTGGTCTCTCCTGGCTAACGCCGCTGGGGCCCTCCCCCCTCCAGGCTGCTACCGCTACAGCTCCGTGGGCCGGGGCCAGGTCCTCCAGCTGAAGGGGCCCGACCAGCTGGCCTCCAGCTGCCTATGGCACCTGCAGGGCCCCGAGGACCTCATGCTCAAGCTCCGGCTCGAGTGGACGCGGCCCGACTGCCGGGACCGGCTGGCCATGTACGACGCGGCCGGGCCCCTGGAGAGGAGGCTCATCACCTCGTGAGTGCCGGGTGTCTGGGGAGAGGCTGGTCCCGTCACCGCCAGCGCTCCGAGACCGGGCTTGGCTGGCCCCGGGCCGGTCCTGGGGGGACAGCTGACCCCCAGGGACGCAGGGAGAGGAGACTGCACGTGGCTGCAGACTGGGGGCGTCCCCTGTCCCCTCCCTCGGGTCCCCCACTGGGTGCAGGCTGGTGGGCTTCCTTGGGCTCCATCAGCTTCCAGGCAACAGGGGGTAGAACCTGGGTGCTCAGACCAGGGGTGGCCCTTAAAGGCGGGGGTCCTCCCCGCCCCTCCTGAATCCCACCCCGCCCTGGGAGGCACCCCATGCTCCCCGTGTCCCCTGCCACCAGGGGACTGTGACCTCAGTTTGGAAAGTGTGTGGGCTGGGTTCCTGGGAAGACGAACAGCCCGATACCATCTGATTTCTAGACTGACGAGGGTGAGATGCTCGCGGGCTTTCCCCTGGGGCTTCTCTGCGTGTCCCCTCCCAGCACCACCTGCTTTTGGGTGGTGCCAACTCAGCACTGCTCCAGTTGGTTGTAGCTGCACCCCAGTGCAGCCCAGACTGGAGACCTCCCACTTGCACCCCAAAGCCAGGAGTGGGGGGTCTAAGATAGAGCAGAGAGACCATGGTCCACCTTTCGAGTCTGGTCTCTGTGCCCACATCCTGTTGCCTGGGCGACACTTGAGTTACCACCAGACCTGCTGCTAAGTGAATAAAAGGAAAGAAAACCCTCAATGTTGAAAACTGAACCCCCCTAAAGGTGGCCCCGGTCTCCCTTAGCCCTCATGTCTGCTCTGCCATTTCTGGGGAGGTGAGCCGGAGGCCCGAGGAGGCCGTGTGGGCTGTTGGGAGCAAGACCGTGAGGACAACCCCACAGGTGTCCACAGGAGGATGGGGGTGCTGGGAGGCAGCCCTGGGCCGGACTCCAGAGCCAAGAAACGCCGCATCCAGGACCCTCCCGGAGAAGCCCTTGGGTCTATTCACCCCACTCTGCGGGCTCAGGGGCGCCTCATCCGGCGGGGGCGGCCATGCTTGGTCTCCCACATCACTTGCAGGAGGCTGCGGCCCTGCTGCCAGATGCTGGGGTCCCCGCGGGGCGGGGGCGCAGGGCTGTAGCTGGCACTGGTCTGTCGATGAAGGGCTCCAGAGGGCTCCAGCTGGCTCCCTGGGCCAGAGCGCGTCAGACACCTGCCCACGGGCACCGCAGGCCGGCGTCCAGACCCTGAGGGTGGCCCGGGGCCCTCCCCACCCTGCCCCCCGCCTCGCTCTGCCCGCAGGGTCTACGGCTGCAGTCGCCAGGAGCCGGTGGTGGAGGTGCTGGCGTCGGGCGCCATCATGGCGGTGGTGTGGAAGAAGGGCCTGCACAGCTACTACGACCCCTTCCTGCTCTCCGTACAGCCCGTGGCCTTCCAGGGTGAGGCGCCTGGGCCCCGGGCAGGGGCGGCCGGGGAGGCAGAGCCCGTGCTGGCCTGGACACGCCCGGCCCGCCCTGGCTCTGGTGGGGCTGGGCTGGGGAGAGGGAAGGTTCTGGAAGCTCCTCCCGCCCTCCCATCCGGACCCCTCCCTTCCTTCCTCCACTCTCACTCCATCCCCCCTTCTCCTCCTTCACCCTTGCCCCACCCCCCCACTTACATCTCCCCTCAATTCTCACTCTCTCCTTGGGTCTCTCTCCTGCTTTCTTTCTCCCCATCGGGATCTGGGGCTCTGCATCCCCCCGCCCGCCCTATGCTCCCACCCCCTCCTCTCTGCCCGATGGGTGGCTGATCCTGGGGGGAGGACCCCACTGGAGCCCAGTCTCCCTGAGGGCTCTAGGGTGCTCAGCCGGGCACTCCTGCCCCCGCTGCACTGACCCTTCCCCACCCCCATCCACCTCCCACTCCCCTATCTCCCTCCTGCACCCCTTCTCAGGGAGACTACACCCCACCTTTCCCGTTGTTCTTGAGTCTGGATCAGCCCGCCTCTGGGCACGCAAAGCAAACCTTGCAGTTTGAGAGCTGTGGGAGGGTGGGGGGTTGGGGGTGCGCCTGCTTCTCCCCTGCCCCTCCCCCTCCCACTTCGGGTCCCCCCTCCTGGCCTCAGCCTGGGGCTCCAGCTGCCCTTCCAGGGCGCCTGAGGCTGGTGGGCCCAGCTGGCTGCGCCCCTGAGGCTCAGTGACAGCCTGCGGAGGGGATGAGGGACACTGTGCCCTGCCCGCCCCAGGCTTCCCTTCTCAGAGCCTCGCCTTTGAAAAGGGGGACACCGTTCCTTCCCCAACCCCTGTGGCCCCCAGTTCTCTGCAGTTTTGAGAACAACCAGTGACAGACACACCGCACCTCACTGGCGCCACGTGAGGGATGGGTGCCCATGAACCCCAACAGCTGCTCCGGGTCGCTGCCGTGTGCTGGGGAGAAAGCTAAGGCCAAGGTCACAGAGTCCCACTCAGTCCCGTGACTGGCAGTGGGGTGGTGGGTGACAGCTACCCCCCTCCCCCGGTGACACTGGCAGGGAGGTGCACCGGACGAGGTCGGGGCCCCTGGGTAATGGCCGTTCTCCGGGACAGCCTGCGAGGTGAACCTGACCTTGGAGGGCCGGCTGGAGCCGCAGGGCGTCCTCAGCACACCGCACTTCCCCAGCTACTACCCGCCTGCCACACACTGCTCCTGGCACCTGACGGTGAGCCCCACTCCCCTCCTGCCCTCCTGCTGTGCCCAGAGCACCCCCCGGGGCCTTGGGGTGCCCGGCCGGGAGGGGAGGGCTGTCCTGCCTTGGCTGAAGCGCCCACAGGCTGAGCCCAGGGTGCGAATCCTCCGTACTGGGGGGGTGGTGAGTGTGGCCAAGGGCTGGCCTGTTTGTTGATTGACTGACAGACCTCAGCCAGCGGTGCAGTGTTGCAAGCCTCCTCCAGTGCTGTGCCGGGAGGCGGGCCCCAGCCCCCTGTGCCCCGAAAGCCTCCTGGTAACGGACGCCTGCCCCCAGGTCCCTTCCCTGGACTACGGCCTGGCCCTCTGGTTTGACGCATACGCACTGCGGCGGCAGAAGTATGACCTGCCCTGCGCCCAGGGCCAGTGGACCATCCAGAACAGGAGGTACGCGCCCCTCTGAACCCCGTCCTCCTGCTGGCACCCCCAGGTCCCAGGCCTCAGGGGGAAGCACAGGAAAGGAGCAGCTGCAGGGCGGGGCAGGCCTGCTGTCCGCCCTGGGCCTGTGGCCTGTGTCCCCATCTGCCTGGGGGCCTCACACGTGCGTCTTCAGACGTGCTCCTTGCGGTTTCGTGTCCATGGGTACCGTCACCCCGCAGATGGCCCTGAGCCCTTAAGTGAGATCCTGTGGGAGCCGCAGGACTCCGCAGGGCTGAGGCGCCCTTTCCCACAACCCCCGAGGGCCGCGGCGCCTGCCCTCCCCAGCTCCCAGCTGGTGGCCAAGGCCAGCGGCTTCCGGCGGGAAAGCCGCACACCCCGGGCCACACCTGCTTCACCCCAAGCTTCTGGGGGTACGTGACAGCCAGCAGCCTCACCCCCACGCCCCGGAGCCCTTCCCCTGCACCTGCCCTTGGGGACAGGCTTCCCAGGAGCGGAGTCTGGGGTGGTGGGTGCCTTGGCAGGCGGGTGAGAGCGCTGGAACCGCGGGCCCCTGGGAGCACAGGGCGCTGGGTAGGCAGCAAGGTGGGGGACAGAAAAGCCTTTCTCCCTGTGGGGGACCAGGACTTTCCAGGGAGGGGTGTCTCCCAGGCAGAGCCTCCGCACCTGGCACCCAGAGGATGCTGACAGAGGGCAGGCAGGGCGGCAGGGGGCGGCTTGCAGAGAGAGGAGGGCCGGCCTTGTGTGGTCTTGCCAGTCACGGCCTGGGTCACTGGGGTGGGCCTGCGTCTGGCAGGCTGGCTGGCCTCTGCCCTTCCCAAGCCCGGGATTCTGGGGTTCCCATGCACAAGATTCTAGACTTCTTGGTTGCACAGATTCCAATACACTGGAGTTGGAAGGTGCTTGGATTCTGGGGTTCATATCCACACACCCCAGCTCCTGCACTTGGTCCATCGGTTGAGCCGTAGCCAAAGGGGGGCAGGGTGACGACGCTCCTGGACGTGCGTCCTCCCCAGCTCTGGCTGTCTGCCAGGGAGCCCGACTGGAAGGGAAGAGACTTGCGGGGGGCGTGACCCGTGTCATTTGGCCCGTGTCATTTGGGGTGACATCCGGGCTGGCTATTCAGGCAGTAGCAGGCATCTTGCCCTGCCAGGCCCGGGGTGGCATTTCTGGAGGAATCTGCCTTGCTCTCTGGTGGATCCCCTCAGGGCTCCCTGGGGCCCTCGCTGCCCTCCTGGAGCCTGCCCAGGTGTGTTTGGGGGGGCTCTTGCCCCAGCATCAGGACAGCACAGATCTGCCTGAGTGTGGCCTACGAGTCACAGTTCTTGGGGTGATAGTGATGCAGTCTCCTCTGTCCACCCTGAGCTGAACCTGGTACCTCAGAGAGGCGCTGGGAGGCGTGGCCCCTGCTTGAACACCTGGACTCACCCCACCTCGCTGGCTCTGCCCTTGGCTGGGACAGGGTCCTGGCACAGGTGCTGGGCGGCTCCCAGCTGGGCGTCAGCTCACTGACCCGGCAGCCTGTGATGTCAATGGCATCGCAGTTCTGTTTCCCGGGGGGGAGTCAAGGCTTAGATTAAGGGGTGCAGGGCCATAGTCAGGGCCACTCCATGCTGCCGCCAGCGGTGGTCAGGCAGCGCCCTTCCTACGCTCCCCAAGCAGGCTTCTTCTTCCCCGACACAGCTGGGAGCGGTCACTAGGTTTGGGTGCTGGACGCCGGCTGGGCCTTCTTGAGCTTCAGACGGGGCCACCAATGGGCAGGGGCTGGCCGCAAAGGGTCATCACTGCCAGGGTGGCGTTTCAGACAGTGACAGGCTCTGACAGGGCCGGGGGTGGGGGCTCCCCAGAGTCACGAAGCACAGTCACTACTCAGAAGTGAGCTGGACAGTCCATGGAGCCCACCCCTCACACCCTGAGGCACAGAGCGGACTCTTGGCCTTGATTTTGCCTTGAAGTGGTAGAAGGAACTCGAGGGTGCCGCGGGCAAGGTGTTGGGGGTGATGCTTGGTGGGCTGGGGGCTTCCAGCCCTCTCCTTCCTCACGCCAAGCCTCCCCCTCATGGGGCTTGAAAGGAGCCCCTGGGAGTCTGGTCATCTGTCTTCGGCATGTGAAACAAGGGGGTTGGGCCAGCCCAGGGGCCCATTGAAAGCTGGCCCCCAGTAAGTGTCTATTCCCAGTGCAGCGTCATTCCAAAGTGGCTGGAGCAAAGAGCTCAAGCAGGGAAGCAGAGCAAGCCGCGTCCCAAGCCGGGCTCTTCCTGTCCTCCTCAGCAAGGACCTGCCTCTCCCGTCCTCGGGGCTCAGGGGCTCAGGCGCATCCTCGGGGTAACTCATCTGAGAAATGGGCAAGAGGCAGACGCCAGCCCCCAACCTGGGCCCTGGGGCAACTGCATGGAGTAAGACAGGGCACACCTGCCCCTCCGGGGCACCCCTGGGAGCTACGACCTGGCTCTCACCTGCACAGGGAGGACCAGGCGCCTGTCCTGCCTCGCAGACCGCTGAGGAGCCGAGGTGCAGAGGGGAAGTCTCTCCCAGTCACCCACATTGTAACTGGGGAGGTCAGGCTGTCTCGGGGTTCTGAGGCAGGGCTGCATGTCACATGCCGTGCGTGCCAGGGCCCGGGCCAGGCTGACCAGCTCCAGCCTCCGAGGCTTCCTTGAGGGTCCAGGGTGCCTGGTGGCTCACCACCAAGCCCGGGGCCCCTGCGTCTGGCTGGGGAAGGGAAGGCGGGGTGCATCTCCAGCGGGGTTCAGGACAGGTCATTTCCTCTCTGATAACGATCGTCTTATGCAGATGCTGGGAAATTCTTTGAATGAGCATTTGTTGGAAAATCTAGATGTGTGGGTGGCAAAGACAAGACGTGAGAAGGCTGAGGAAGAGTGTCAGTTCCCAGCAGGGGAGGGCGGAGACCAGGTCTTGGGCCCAGCACACGCTGGTGGGAGCCGCAGGGGGCGGTTGGGCCAGGGGCGGGGCCCTCGGGTGCCAGCGCCCAGAGGGGAAGGCAGCTCCCTCCACCCCCCGGGCCTCGTTGGCATCAGACCTGACTCCTGAGAACAGCCGGTTGCTCCCGGTTCCCTGCTCAGCTCTCCTGGTGCCTACCTGACCGGGCCACGGCCTCGTGCCCTTTGAGTGCCCTGTGGCAGCGCCGGGACTTGGCTTTGTAAGATCCGGCCACCAGCTGCTCCATTTCACAGAACCCACTCTGGCTTCCCCCTTTCCGAGAACCTGCCTCCTGCCAGCTTCCTCTCCTGTGACGTCACTCTTCTGGGGCTCTTCCCCCCCGACCATCTCCGCCCCGCTCGGCCCTGAGCCTTCCCGGAGCTCCCGGCCCGGCCTGGTCAAGGGGCAGCCAGCCCTTCCGCTCTCAGTCCCCGGGTGGCCGGTGCTCCTGCAGCCAGGAGACCCCTGGGTGCCGCGAGCCCCAGAGCCGGTGCTACGCGGCGGCCTGCAGAGGGCACAGCTCAGCCGCTGCCCTAGATAAGCTCGCGGCTTGGCAACGCCAGCCGCCCCTTCCACAGACGTCATTTCTCGTTTCCCTGCAAGCATCCGCAAGCAAGAGGGCAGTCCTGTCACCTCACAGGCGTGACAAGTCAGCTCGCTGCGGTTGAGCCTATGCCCAGGGAGCTCGGCTGGTTCATGCGAAAAAGGTCAGAGCTGACCTTAAACTCAGCTCTGCAGCCCTAGGTCCAGGGTCCAGCTTGACAGACGCACAGACCGCCCTTGCTCGGTGTACACCTCCTTTCCACTTAACTGGACCTCAGGAAAGGGAACGCATACAGGCAGCC